GATATCAAATTCCTTGCGATGTGCATAGCCGAACCACGACTCCTAACCGAAATTAAGAAGTCTACTTACCCAAACCACGACTATCTGCAAGCCTACCACTGCTAGTTCATAGGACCGGTGCGACTGATGGACTTCCATGCTTTGAGGCTCACTCGAAGCAGGAAGTACTGGAAGGAAATGTCTTATCATTGCATAGAAAGCAAGTAAGTACAAGCATTATAGACGTCATAACTACCGTTAAATAGTGGTGGCAGTAGCACCTCAGAGTTGCTAAGGAGCCGCTACTAGCCTCCTGCGTCTGACTGGGTAGCGAGTAGCGAGTAACGAGTAGCGAGTAGCGAGTTACGCGTGCGCGTTGTGGGCGCATGCACGTGTACCGGGTAACGCCTTCCGGATGGACCGCCGGTAACGCGTTCGACTGGGCACTTTGCCACCTCGATTTTTCCGTGAAAAAAAAGGTCATAATTACGCCGTCGACACACTGTAATGTTGCCTGCCGTGTATAATCCTTATGATTTTTACCCCCAACGACGTCCACAAGGTTCTCCAGCCCGCTGACTACCCCGCACCGGCTTTGGCCACGATTTCAGACGACATCCATGAACCGCCCATGTGATAACGCTGGCCCGCCGGCGCTATGACACAACCGGCCCTCGTCTTGATGCGCTTATAAGGTCCTCTGCGTCCGTCGTGCAAGACACTCTTTCTCCCCGTCTGCACACATCAAGACATGGCTGCTGCTATCGCGCAAAAGGTTTCTCAGCTGGCGGGGACGAGCGGGAAGGCGAAGGTGCTCGCGCAGAGCGACGACGACGTCGTGGTGGTCGCGGCGGTGCGGTCTGCCATCACCAAGGTACGTCCGGCCGCCTTCCTGCTCAGTGTACGCGTCTTACCTGGGTGTGGTGCAGGGCAAGAAGGGGGGCTTCAAGGACACGCGCCCTGAAGAGATCCTCTCCGCCGTGCTCCGCGCCGCGTACACCAAAGTCGGCCTCGACCCCAAGCTGGTCGGGGACATCTCAGTAGGGAATGTGCTTCCCCCTGGAGGAGGCGCGACCGCGGCGCGCATGGCCGCTCTGCACGCGGGTATCCCCAACACGACACCTATCAACACCGTCAACAGACAGTGCTCGTCGGGGCTGACCGCGATCAGCCAAATTGCGAACGAGATCAAGGTCGGGCAAATCGACATCGGCATCGGTGAGTCTCGTTCATTCCCGCTCTCCTTTTACGTGATTTCATAGAACTATTCTGATTCTCGCGGGTGTGGGACTGTAGGCGCGGGTGTGGAGTCGATGACTTTCGGCTACGGCGGCGCCGCGATGCCCGACGGCTGGTCCGAGGCCGTCCTCTCGAACAAAGAAGCCGAGGACTGCCTCATCCCCATGGGCATCACGTCCGAGAACGTCGCGAAGGAGTTCGGCATCTCGCGCGCCGTGCAGGACGCGTTCGCGGCCGCGTCGTTCCAGAAGGCCGCCGCCGCGCAGAAGGCGGGAAAGTTCAGGGCGGAGATCGTGCCCGTCAAGGTCAAGTGGACGGACCCGAAGACGGAGCAGGAGAGGGAGATCGTCGTCGACGCGGACGACGGCATCCGGGACGGCGTCACGGCGGAGAGCCTGGCGAAGCTCAAGCCGTCATTTTCCAAGGACGGCACTACGCATGCAGGTGGGTGTGTATATGAAGACCCCGGAGTCCTGGCTCATATCAACTCTACAGGGAACGCATCGCAGGTCTCCGACGGCGCTGCTGCAGTCCTCCTCGCCCGCCGCTCGGCAGCGAAGCGTCTCGGCCTCCCCATTATCGGGAAATACGTCACCTCAGCCGTCGTCGGCGTGCCCCCGCGGATCATGGGCGTCGGCCCAGCCTTCGCCATCCCCAAATTGCTCGAGCAGACCGGCCTGAGCAAGGATGACATCGACTTCTACGAGATCAACGAGGCCTTCGCGAGCCAGGCCGTGTTCTCGATCCAGCACATCGGGATTCCCTTTGAGAAGGTGAACCCGAACGGCGGCGCGATCGCGATGGGCCACCCCCTGGGCTGCAGTAAGTGCTTCCCTGCTCTCTACTGCCAACACATGGCTGAACTGCGTGTGTTTCTTTCTCAGCTGGCTCAAGACAGGTCGCGACCGGTTATAACATCGCCAAGCAGACCGGTGCGAAGCTGTTCGTCACGAGTATGTGTATTGGCTCAGGGATGGGTATGGCTGCTCTCTTCGTGAACGAGCAATGAGGATCCGGAGCTGCGGGAGGTGGTTAGGTCTTCACCGTGTACATATTGTATATCTCAATCTATAATCTCAGTTCTCGAAGCTGCATAGCATACGATGCGGGCTCTGATCATGATACACGCACAGTAGATACGTTTCAGAGCAGTATGATTCCATCCATTTCAACGGAGCAGAGTCTAATATTGAGCAAATTCGTCGTAAATGTACCTAATCTACGGGCCGCCTCCGACATACATTGTATCGGGGTGGTCTTGAGGGACGAGGACTCGATCTCCCATGCGTACAGTTCAAGATCCCTCCGTAAGAACGCGAGCGAGATCCCAAATATCAACTTGCAAGGTGTAACTTTCGATGAAGAGTCGTCCGCTGGCTCGCGTCTCTTATACCAGCAAGGTACCCACGCACGGACCCCGTGAGAATCGCAGAGTATATAAACGCAGCGGACGCGAACGGTGTCGTTTCCTTACAGTCACCTCGACCCTTTGAGCCTGGCGTCTCAGTTGCGCCGCGTCCTTCGTGGCGCGGATGGATGTTGGGTCAAGCATTTTGGTCGAGCAGAGGAGGTCGCGGACGCGGGGAGCTGGGCATGCCGTTCGCCTCTTTCTGTTCCATTGTCGGGCGGTTAATCAGCTCCCTGCACATTTCCTTAGGATACATGATCTTCGTGTCCCCTGTAGGTTCCGTAGCCACGCTGTGGCCTAAACCATTGCGTTCTTGCTGTCTTACACTGGCTGCATACTGCCCTATGTAGTCCTCTACGAGAATGCATATGCCCGAATTCGCCATTCTGAAGCAATAAGGTCCCGTCACGGAAAAATGACAGTGTAGCTCCGTGATTGCATCACGATTCACAGGTATGTTACGGCGCCTTTCCGTCCGCGCGGTTATTCGGAGCGTCGCAGGTGAGAAGGGAAGCAAACCCATGGGCTAGTGGAACCCCCGCGCTTCCAGGGCGACTGACGAAATCGCTCCCATTGCGCGGGGGCTCCCGTAACGCAGCGACATTGTGCTTGACAATGCCATACCAGGCGGGCGTCCCAGCGCAGTCTCTATTCCGACGTCGCTCGGGGTGGCCGCAGATATCTCCATGGAAGGCGCTGCGACGCGCGGACATATACGCGGGGTGACAGAATCCATTTCGAACGCAGTGCTGCGCTATATCCGTCTAGGGAGGGACGAGGGCTGACTGGACGACAGTCGATTGGCCCGAGACGCACATGCGGGGTATGCCTATCGGATAGGGAGGCCCTGGCATGACGGACGTAACCACTGACATAAGTGGCAGCGCGGTGGACATACCCAGGAGAGAACCGGGAGCGCAGGCAGCGTATAGGAACGCAGGTTCAGCCGATTTGGCCTATCGCGCGCGGGTGGGGGTAGAGGCCTTGGAAAGCGAAACGTAACTGCCGGTGGGTTACGGATCGCTCGTCCCGCTGGGGTGCACGAGGATGTGAACGCGCGCGCGACCCTGTGATCGCACATTCAGTGCATGAGAGCTGAGGTTGTGGACGCACCGGGGGGAATACAGAGTGAGGCGGCAGGCCGGGCGATTGCGCGAATATGAGAAAGTGTTGCGGAGCGATAGAGGATCGTTACGGCGTCGCGCGGGTGATAGAGTTACTATCTGATAACCCGGGGACACGGACGGGTGCAATTATGTGGCGGCTTGCCAGTAAGCCTGCAGCCCTGGCAGAGTACGGCAAGGGCTGCGAGCACTTGATTCCGCACGCGCCACAGCCCGCGAGCACGAGTATCAGATTATCCGCGGCGTTGACGCTGCGCGCGCCGGGCTGGCGTCCCAAGTAAGCAGGGGCCACAGAAACCAGGGGCAGCTGACGCACGAGCTCATGCCAAAGCAGCGTTGACGGGGGCGGATGGAAACCATGCGCTTCGCCGGTGATAGCCATGTTTTGACCGAAGAAGCTAAGACTGCGCGGGCGTATTTGAACCTTGGGTGGTGAGGTTATCTAGGAATCAGCGTTCGGGCAACGGGATTAGAGTCCGGAGAGAACAGGCTAGCAACTCGGCGTGCAGCGACGAGTGGGCACATGTGCGTGGCAGCACCACAGCGCTGTGCACTGGACAGAAAGCAGTGAGTACTTGTGTCAAGTTGGGGTAAGCTCGGCAGAGGGGTGCTCACAGGCGGGTAATTTGTGGCGGTGGGTACACACAGGAGTGGCATCGGACGGGAAGAACCGAGTGGGCAGTATGCCGAACAAGAGCGGTTCACGTAAGGGCCATGCGGGGGAAGCTGAAGGTCCGGGTGTGTGAGGCTGAAGCATGTTTGCGCGACGACGGGACGAGTGAATCATGGAACAGGATCACAAAGGGATCATGCAATAGCTCGAAAGGCTGACAGCGACCTCGTCGATTGCCGGCGCACCCTTTATATCCGATTAGAACGATTTCGCAAAGATTCGGCCAGTTGCGGTAGGACGGAGCTTGGACCCGGAACATCGTCCACTTGCGGGCGCGATGCTCCCATCCCAGCGTTCGGGGAGGAGCGCATCCAGGGCTCCGCGGATTCATGTTTGTGCCGTGCGCTGACAAGCAGCAGCACCGTGGCGACGAGCACATGCGTTGCGCCAGCCGTGCCACAGATGAACCCGAAATTGAAGACGGAGGCAATTCAAGATATAAGCTCGTTGTAAGCTCGCTCCGTGAAATCTACCCGAGACGCTGATCGATGCGCCTTCTTCGTATCAATCTCCTCTATCTCCGTCTCCAGCACAGCCCACCCATGTTACCGCCCTAACCGCTGCCACGGGATCCGCTCTGTCGCGGAGGGCACGGAACATTTTATTCATCTCGGCCGTCCTTCAAATACGCCCTGCCTTTCTTTTCCCCGCTCGAATCCGTCTTCTCTCTTTCAATGTTGTAGTCTACTTCTCCTCCTCATTTACCCCCCATGCATCACCGTAGCCCTTCTCGTAATTCGAATGCTGCTCCCCGCCGCGATTCTCTCCGGAGCCCTGCTTCTTCATCTAGGCAGGAGCAAGCTGATCCTCGCTACTCACCCTCCGATTCTCATCAGATGCAGCCATCACTCCCGTCCATCCATCACCTCCATCCTTACCTTGCTCCTGCCGTGCCGCAGCATGCTGTCCCGGGCCCCAGTTATGTTTCTAGCGAGCAGCCCTCTATGGCCACTGTCATGGACCCCGCAGCCCTCGAACAGCGTCGCGAGAGTCGCGACCTGGGCCCACCCGACTCTGACGTCGAGGAGCAAGGCCCGCCCAAGAAGAAACGCCGCAGGCAGGCCCTAAGCTGTACCGGTGCGCACGGCCATTTACTCTAGCCCCACTCCAGACGCTGACCGTTCCACTCTCGACGCTACTCTCGCACCCCTATGGACCTACAAATTCGGGAACACGGCATTGGTCTTTTCTTGGTCGCGTACGATCCCGTCCCCCGCAGAATGCAAGCGGCGCAAGATAAAGTGTGACAGGTCGGGACAGTCTCGCGAGCTGCTCTAGTCCTCAGTTCCTTAGCTCTGATTCCAGGGCTCAGCCTTGCGGCCCGTGCTCGCGCCGTGGGGAGGCCAACAAGTGCCAATGGAACATCGTTGAACCGACGTGCGTGTACACGTCTCGTATGTTCCCTTCCTCTTGCTAATAGTCCGCGAAATCATTGCAATATGCAGGGATAAATACGTGACGCGCGCGGAGTACGACGAGCTGAAATACCGATTTGATAACCTGGAGGCTTCCATCGCTCGGTTGTTGCCAGGCTTTGCTGCGACGTCGGGGCCTGTCGCGGCGCCTCCGTACATTTCGGCGCCAAACCCAAGCGGGGCTGCTATTCCTCAGGCGGGTAGTATGGCGTCCACAGCTCCCGCATCATCGGGCATGCCGTCCGCAGTTTACCCTGCACAGTATGCTCCGGATATACCTCCGGCATCAGATTACCACGTCCACGCTCAATATGACCCGAGGAATGCCCCAGCTCCGTCGTCTCAGCCGTCTCGACGCCTTCACCTCCCTCTCCCCTCTCTGCAGCCTCCTTCAGCATCGATTACGTCTCCAACAGCCCCGAAGCCGTCTCCGCTGTCCCTCGCCGCAATAACGACGCCCTACGATCCAGGGGCGGCGCCTGACAGCCGGCAGTCAAAAAACTACCAAGCGCAGGCGCTCACAGCGTTACTGGGCGAGCGCCTGCGCCTGTCGCCTCAGCCGCCCGAAGACCCAGTACATCATCGTTTGCAGCACCAGTACCGCCAGCTCCTCCAGGTCCGCAACGGGTGACAGCCGCGGCGCACCCACACACGTCAAGTCGGCATGTCCCCCCTCGTTCCTCTGCCCTGACAGGGTCGCCGAGTCTTTCTCGTTCCTCAGTTCCATCGCCAGAAGCGCCACATTCGTCGCAGAGCTCTCAATCGCGCAGTCCGCAACAGCCTCGTTATCCCCCAAGCCGTTGACCCGTTTATATGATTTTGACGCCACATACCCTTATACTATCCTCTCGAGCCTCATACCCTGTGGTGGCTGCACTAATCACGATTCCTGTACACCGTTCTCTTCCGCCCGCCAGCGCGCGCGCTTGCTTCCCAGCCATAATCCAAACCAGAAACTGTAGTTCTTCTCTGTAATGTAAATTGTGTAAGCCAAATTCGAATTCGCTGTCAATCATTCGCCGACTGACTTGCGACGTCGCCAGGCTCTCCCTCGCGTGGCATCATGCATACAATAAGACTCAAAGCCTAATTGACGACGTCTTCATCTCGATCCTCAATGCTGTATGAAGCAGGTGCTACCCAGCGTACGTATGCGACGTGGGGTCGCCTCTATCGCGGTGCCTTGCTGCCGCAAGCGACATGTCAGTGGGGCTGACGGGTGATAGGCAGTGGCGTCGCTCCCACAGGTTCGTGTATAGCAATTATCGAGAAGGCCGTCCACGATATTGCGTATGTAGACGCCTTCGACCCGAGCTTGTCCCGGCTTCCTCTCCTCTTGTTTGAATAGAAGTTCGTCGGATATCCTAGTTCCATGGCCGAAACCGCGTGTGCAAACTATCTTACCCATCTGTGCCATTTATTTCCCCGATGCTTACTAGCACAGCAGCGCAATTCTCTGACAACATTATGACACATTATGCCTGAATAATATTGGCGTATGCTAATAATCAAGGACATGGTCACAAGCGAGCATCGGATATGGCTCCCAGGAACCCCAAGCTCGTCATTTACTGTGCTCGTTATCTGCTCCCATCTCCGAACACCATCAAGGTTTTAGTTTTGCATCCGCTCAGGGAAGAGAAGCAGGCGACTCTGCCGTCGTGCTTCGCATGCCATGGCAGAAACGTGGAGGCACGCGAAATGCTGTGTTTATTGCTGCTGCGCTACTACTACAGCGCCCTGCCACTCCCTCGGTATCAGCCCATGACCCGCGCCTGATCGTCGGGACGCCCACCCGGACAGGCACCGCTCTAAGGCGAAGGCGAGCTCTCCATGATCGCCTTGATCATCGCCGAGCCGACCGTCGTGGCGTCCTCGAACCGCGCTTGGAAGAACCCCGCCGTCTGCGCGAACCGCTCGCGGTACAGCTCAAAGTTGCCAAAGGACACGCACTGCGACCACCCGCGCGCGGCGACGACGAACTCGAGGTCGTCCGAGCGGTGCGACGCGTCGTACAGCGCCGCCGTCAGCGCCGTGTCCAGCCGCGCGCGCGAGCGGAAGAGGTACTCCGCGACGCCGATCCACATTCGGAAGATCGGCGTCGCGGCGAGCTCGAGGTGCCGGAAGGGCTGGATGCCGAGGTGCGCCCAGCAGTCGACCATCGCGAGCAGCGAGAGGTGCGAGTTCGCCTTGGGCGCGCGCGCGCGTCTCGTCGACGGCGTCAGCGGCACCTCCTCGCCCGACGGGCTGCGCCCGAGGCTGAACTGGTCGAGGATGTCCTCGGAGAGCAGGATCGGCGTGCGCGTGTGCGTGTTCGCCTGCTTGCTCTCGTCGCCGTAGTCCGCGCCGAAGACGGTGTCGCGCGCCTGGTACACGCGCGCGCGCAGCGCGTGCTCGTCCGCCGCGAGCATCAGCTTGAAGAGCTCCGTCGCGCTCGACGCGTACTGGTCGATCTGCACGCGCGCGGAGGGGTTAAGGATCGCGAGGCCCGCGTAGACGTGCCACTTGTTCGAGTAGATCCGCAGCATGATGTTCACCTTCACGTTCTCGATCCCGCCCACGTACGGGCCGCCCTCCCAGGGATAGGACTTTGCGCTTGCCCAGGCGGTGCCCATGCTGCGGGGAGTAAGTGGGGAAGGTTGATGAATGAAGGGGGAACGGTACCTGAGGAATGCGGCGTGGGTCACGGCTTGTGTATTTGCTGTGACGAGATCATGTTCCTCGTAGGACATGTAGACATAGCGAGACCTGAGTGGTCGGAAGATATTTTCGACCAATGTAAGGGCCCAATCTGGCGCCCGGTGTTTGATGAGCACCTGAAATTAATTGACGCATGAATCAATGACAGAACAATGGGCGGTTCTCTTTTGCTCACCAATGGCTGCCCATGAGGCGATACGGTTGGCCCGTGTAATGAATGACACGAAACGATATGAACATCCTCCGGCAGGTGCTTCTCGAAAGCTGCCTTTTCGGGCGCCTTCACGGACGTCTGGCCGGAAACAATCGCCCCGAGCTTCGTCGCTGAAGTGCGAGTACATATTAAGGCAAGGAAGTAGTGACGGAAGGGGATGCACTTACAGGGCCCGTACTCTGCAACCACTCTATCAATGTACTCTGCTTCGACCGAGTACATGATGAAGTCTGATGCCCTCGATACCCGGTGCCCGTCGGGGAACACGGTAACACCCGGGATGTCTGCAGAAGCATCATCGGACATTCGCACTGGGAACCAGGACAAAACAGAAACTGCACACCTTCGTACGCCCGCTTCAGCTCCTCATACTTGGCAGGGATATCGCAAACGTATATTCTACGGGAAGTGTCAGCGGCGAGCACACAAGACGGAACAGAGAGAGCGCAGGCACATTAGGGATAGATAAAGACCGACTTTTTCCACCCGCCCTCGGCCAGATATTTGGTGTACATGCGTCCCATGGCGCCCATTCCAATTATGCCAATCGTGGGCTGGACATCAATAGGCGATTGAGGGGTGCAGGAGATCTCCATCGTGGCTGCCGACTGCGGGGTTTCGCTGGAAAGTGTATGTGTTGCTAATGGGATGATACAGCTTTGTTTCCGGGCATAACCAAGGCCCTAGCATACGCTTTTATGGAATATACAAGGAGGATGTGGCAAGTATAGGTGGGGATAGAACGGAGATAGTCTCAGTTGTGGTAGGACAGCGAGTGAGCTGAGAACGGCCGGATCTTGTGGCAAAGGCTGCAAACAGCGCTCAGGCCAACCGCAGCGGCTCGAAAGACGTCGACTGAGAGAGGATACCGAGCTCAGGCTGCTCAGTCCCTTGTGGCATGCTTTCAGAGTCAAAGTTGCGAATTTGACGATTCTGATGCAACGCTGGCCGGTGATGCACATTGGTTGCCGAGCGTTGTGATAAACGACGACCAACTCTAAATCTCTAAATACCTTATGTCTCCAGCTGTCACCCACATCCTCGTGCTCTCAGCATGTCTGCAGAACCTCTTTCCTCACGTACACCTGAAACCCCTCAGACTAACACGGCATCGCGTACGGTTGACCATCTGGGTCAGGTCAAATTTAAAAGTCACTGACTCACATTGCGACTGCTGTGTTCGATCCCCGGTGGGGTGGATGGGGATATTGGGCGGAGTTTGAATTGTCGCAATCCACTCAGCGGACGAGGGATACTGAGGGGGCTACAGTAAAAATGTACTACGTCTTGACAAGACTTCATCCGGACGCTCCTGAAGAAGTGTGACGCAAAATCTCTACACGATGAGCCTATGCTTGTCGTAAGAGATTTGTTGCTGAGAACATACGACGGGAGTTGCCGATATTTGAAGCTCCGCTCCACCAAACAAACGGTCAGCTGCAGTCTTGTGTATGGGTATGTCGCGCACTGGGCTTTTGTAGTATAATATTGGGGGCGTTCTATAAAGAGATACTGGAGTACCCGTGCTAGGGCTAGTGACCTCCAAGAGAAGAACACAGGCGGGGAGCTACATCAAGCAGCCACAGCCACTTGCGGGATATCATATATCAGTATCGGCAGGTGGACTGTGCAGCGCGAGGTGTAAACGGTTGTGAAGCATTAAAGGATACGTATATACGGTTAGTACTAATGTGCACTAAACGGCACCGATAAGTCTTTCCGCCCGTCGCTCCCCGAAATATGTGGGCTGGGGATTCGCATCCTCTCGGAGTAGTGGTCCCGAACCTTATTGATTATCGAACAGTCACTACTGTAAAATTCAGTGCCGCGCTACGTACATAATATTGATAGATGTATTCAACCCCCTTCAGAGACTGTTTCGGGATTGGCCGAAAGCTGTCAACGCGGAGGATCGAACCCAAGGCAGCCTCCAAGTTGTGAGGCGACTTTTGAATTTGACCTGGCCCAGATGGTCAACCGTAATCGCGCCACTATCGTGCGCCTGCCAGTGCCACATCCATGACGATCCTGCCGATAGTCTAAGCCCAATTGCTGCTTACTAGCCGATTCCAATCGCCATCAAACACGCTCCTCAACGCTCCTCGCCGACGCAGGACGGACGGACGGACCCGGGTCCGCAGCCGTGCTTAACCTTCCGCTCGCCTGGTCCCAACTTCCTCCTGCCCCACGGATCATCCACTCGTGCGCGCGATCTAATCGCAGTGCAATCAGGAACTCGCCAGCTCGCGGAAGCATTCTGCGACTGTCCTCCTTGGAGCTGTTCGGTATCGCGGGCCGCTAGTTACCTGACGCAAGTATGCCTACCGTATCTCCACGGATGATAATGCCTCTCTCCAAAGACGGCGGCACCTGTCTCTGGATATCGACGGGACTCGCCTGCTTGGCTGCGTTCAGACCTCTCCTGGAGACAGATCAGTGGCTCCCGTAAATTAGCCTGAGCGAATGAGCTCCTCGGAGGTGGAACTTATCTCCTGACAATATCGCCAATCAACTTGAGTGCCACACCTCACGTCTTGAGGGCACCGAAAGAGGTACATGTCCGCCACAACAGCGTAATATCGCCGTGAAGAAGCAAAGACCCAATCAGCGTGCATGACCGAGTCGAGTCCAACTCGAGCGCAAGTAAAACCCTATCGCTCCCTCACCGCGAGGCTTGAGTATCGACGACCGGGAGGTCGACATCTGGCTATACCGCCGGGCTATTGACACAATTCCCTCAACCAATTCGCGTCTCCCCGAGCAAGCAAGCAAATCTGCCGCAGTCTCGCCGCAGTCCATCTACCCAGGTCTGCAGCCCGAGATGAGAGGTAGATCGGCAGCAACGCTAGCAGCGGCCGGCACAGCGTGCTGATACACACAAGTAGACTCCGCGAGAAGCTCGGGATAACAGGCCATATCTCCACCAGGCGCACGACGTCGAAGCACCCAGGGGGGATCGTGAGTCGCTCGATGATTACTGTTACGGAGCCCGAGTATATCCCGCTCGCGCACGGGCATCGGGAACGACGCGAGGATATCGCCAGTTATGCATCGAGTTGCGTGTATTTAACACGAGCAGACATGAGCCAGCGGCAGAATAACTGAGAAGCAGCGGCCTAAACCCACGAGGACCGAGCGAGGAACCTGCGACGTCGACGTCGACGCGGATGCATACGGCAAATCCTATGTCTGAGCCACAGCAATAGTCGCCGAGGATACGCCTATGCTCCTCCGAGCCTGGCACTGGTGCGCGTGGAGAGGTACCACTCCACCTCTTCGTCCTTCCTGAGATTGAGGTACAGTAAAATGGACCGAGATTTTATATATAGACGTTGCTTAGCGAAGAACAGAAAGCACGGGAAGGAGGATTCGAACAGTCTTGAGGCCCAGACTGAGAATCAGGCCGCGGGTCCGGCCTATGGCGACGATCCACGTTCGAGGAACCCGGGACGCAGCGAAGAGGGGAGAAGGCGATGGGAAGTTGCTTGTTGGGGTCCAATACAGTGAGCTCGCGCTGGTCCACGTACAGTTACTGCACGCTTTACATCATATTTGGACGGTCAGAGCTGTGTCGACGGCCAGTGTTATCAGCCGGAGAGCTATCCAAAACACAGGTTCCGGTGGATCGCGCTTGCAGTCTGCGAACCAGACTGTCGCCTCCTGGGCGAACAGGCCGGGAATGCGTCCAGATTCCGGCCATTTGAACGCCGCTTCTCGAAGATACTCGGTCCGCTAGGTAAATTCCTGTATCCCCAGACTGAGCAGAGCATGGCAAGCCAGATGAAGCGTGCCACCGGTGAGCATTTCATTCCGATTCCCCCGCATGCTGACGGGAGGGTGGCTGGGAATGCGGTGCCAAAACGCCCAGGGGAGATTACGCTGTGGCCTCGTGTCGCGCCGCAGGATGTGAGTGCATATGGCGTCTTCATTTCACTTACGATATGGCATGACAAAGTCAATTTGGCGGCACAGGGAGAGAGGTACACTGATTCGGATTCAGGCGACTTCGGCGCTTGAGGTGAGCGTTGGAGCCGGAGGGCTGAGGGCAGAGGGCTGAAGATATCGTACCAGGGTTAGCCCATAGACGAGGATTGTGCTCAGACGAGGAGGGTATACACGATTAGACATCCTGGGGCCAGAACAGCAAGCACGATCGGACATGAGGACCTAGTAATGAAGCCACGGGACGCGTTTCGTAAAATCCGGCGCAGTTAGGCAGCCTGCAGTGAGGCGTAAGTGTGTTTGCGTGGGTCCAGAGTGCTGCAGTTAGACTGCTATTATGGGCGCCCGGCCCTGAGGCCGTCTTGTGGCAGCAATACGAGCGCGTTCATCTCGGGATAGATTGCACCCAAGGCCGCAGAACGTCAATAACGAGCTGCGGGAGAACTGAAGCGGAGAAACACAATCAGCAGAAGGCGATGCTTTCCGCTCTTATAGCTGCAGGAGCATATGGAGCACGACGAACGATTATAGCTCTCGAGCCACACCGCACGCATGGGCGGCAGAGGTGCATGTGGCGAGGCAGCAGCGAGGGACGGGAGAAGGGGCCGCGGGAGGGGGACATGTGCAGCAGGACCGGTCCCGCGGCCTCGCGACACGTGCCTGCGGGACCAGCGCGTGGACCGCGTCTGGGTTGACTTGACTGCAGTTTACGCCCGGCCTGCTATTCGCGTGCATCCCTCCTGCATTGTCCCCACCCGTGCTACTCACGCGAGGCATGTAATTCCTCGTGCAATATAACGGCCTTGACTGACCCGGTGTATTCCATCCCTTCTAGCTTTTCCTAGTCGTCCTACCACGCTTCAGAGACTCACCATGGCCGACGCGACCAACTCTACGACGTCCACCGACCCCAAGGGTCCCGAGGAAGGCTCGGGGCCGAAGGCGATCATCAAGAACGTCGACATGAGCGAGGAGATGCAGCAGGAGTCCGTCGACATCGCGTCCGCCGCGCTCGAGAAGTACAACATCGAGAAGGACATCGCCGCGCAGATCAAGAAGGAGTTCGACAGACGGCACGGGCCCACCTGGCACGTCGTCGTAGGCAAGAACTTTGGCAGCTACGTCACCCATGGTCAGTCCTTTCGCCAGGTTCTTCCTCGGGTTTCGAGGACCGATGTTGTGCAGGACATCTGACAATAATTTGCTGTTTGTAGAAACGAAACACTTTATCTACTTCTACGTCGGCTCGCTTGCGATCCTGATCTGGAAGTCATAGACTACTCGCACTCTTGTGAGTACTGCTCAGCCCTCCCCTATGATATACACCCGTTCGTCTTTCGCACTTTTGATTTTTCACTGTCCCATGTTGTACAATACTGACGGCTCTGACAGATCTCCCTTCTCTGGCTCTCCGGGATTAATAGGACTATCCAACACTCCATCTCTCGTACCGTATATACATCACAGAGACTCTCCGCCCTTGCTACAACACCACATGAATGTATCGTCATTTCTTCTCTCGCAATATCCATTTCTCTCTATCCCTGTCGATATGTAACCCTGCCGTCAACCCTTGGTCCGGCATATCAAGCAGCTGCCAAGTCCGACCAAATATCCCAACCTACCAGCTCCCGCACGTAGAGTCGGAGACTCTTAAATGGTATGATGGCGGGCCTATCACTACAAGTCTTGTCCGAGCATCATTGACCGAGTTAGTCTCCGACTGCTCGTGCATAAGCCCAGACTAACGGAACTGATCTCTGGCTGCAAACAAGTTCATCGTCAGACGTGCAGCGACTGCCAGAGAAATTACACTGATTGTTTCAATTATAGGGTCTACATTAAGGTAAGGTATGATATGTGGGTATAGACTGTGAGTATGTCCGATACAGATCGAGTGCGTGCAAAGAAAACTAGGGCTACAAATGTGGTATCATCAAGGAAAGTGTCATGAATAAAATACGCCCGTCTCGGCGCCCACCTCAACTGCGCCTCACAACCTCCACATCCACCCTCCCCACACACACCGCCCCAGCTCCATACACCCCCACCGCCACCTCGCCCAAATCATCCACCCCCGGCGTCCCCCAGAACTCCACCGCCTCCTTCCCCCTCCCCAGCCCATTCGCCTTGAGCGTGTACCGCAAAAACGGCGGCGCCATCGCCCCGCTCCCATCCCGCATCCTTGCTACCAGCCGCCCCTGCGCACTAGCGATGGGCACGACGAACCGGAACGACTCCCCGCACCGCAAAAGCACGCGCGGGACGACGTTCGCGCCGCTCGGGCCCCGCTCCGACGTCGCGAGCGAGAACACCGACGGCGCGGCCTCCGAACGCGGCGCGAGCGACTCCCGTACGCTCGACCGCGGCGTATTCACGGTACTGTTTGTTTCCTCGCCCAGAGCGCGCACGTACTGCACCCCGAGCTCCAGGTCGTCGCCGCTGTCCCCCGGCGAGATGAGCACGTCCGCCTTCTGGCTCGCCACGCGCTTCGGCGGGCTCGCCACCTTCGTCACCTTCGGGCTCATCGGCGGGAGAGTGGGCACCGGGACGCGCGCGGCGCTCGTGAACGGCACCAACCTGGGCCGCGCGCCGCCGACGACGGGCGTGCCTTCCGGCTGCGAGAGGTACGAGATCCCGCTGACGCTCCGCGCGCTCCGCACGCTCATCGCCTTCGTGGCGGTCTGCACAACCGCGTCCCCTTCATAGCTCGCCGAGCTCGCGACAGAGTCGACCGACTTTGCAGGGCGGTGGACCGGGCGGACAGTAGGCTTCCGGGACGCCTTCCGCTGTACATTCGCAGGCACAGCCAGGATCCCAGTATCTTCCCTCCCAGGAGGAACGAAATCCGCTCTCCGTCGCGGGATGGACCGGTTTCCAGCCGTCCCATTGCTCGAAGACGACACCGACCGGCCCAGCGACATCACCGAATTCCTCAGATGGCCCATAATGCCCACCCCAACCCCCCCATCGAACCGCGGCCCATGCACGCTCGGCAGCCCCTCCATCTGCTCGACCCCCGGCGGCGCAGACACCAGCGTCGGCTTCGATATCGTCGGTCGCGGCGCGCCCCGGCGGCACCGGTCGCTCACCTGGCGCACCGTCGCGCGCAGCCGGCCCATGAACTCGTCCTTCCGCATGACGCTGCTCCGCGGGCTCCACTTGTGCGACAGCACGCTCGACGCGCCGGGCGAACCAAGTCTGGTCAGGACGCGGCGGAGGCTCCCGTACCCGCCGCCGCGGATCGGCGCGGAGTCCACGCCCTCGTGCGCGGGCACGTCGGCGTGCGCGAAGTTGACGATGTCGAAGCGCTTCCCGTCGCTCCAGCCGTAGCCATCTTCGCCCTGCTCGACCTCGAGGCCGTACCACTGCTTGTCCTTCTCCGACAGTGCACGCTCGGCTTCCACGCCTAGCAGCGCGGTGTCCTCGACTTTCGTACATTGCCTGAGACCAGCGAGGAGAACACCCGTCAAGACGACGCCGCCGATAATACCGAACGTAATCTCCAAGGCGAGCAGAAGCTTCGCGTGCGCAGCGTTGGACAACCCGGGCGTCGGCGTTGCGTGCTCGTGCTTGTACTGATCCAGCGACCAGGAGACGTTCATGCTCGTGTGGGACGTCGAGTGGGTGATGTGCGAGTACGCGGTGAAGGTCACGCCCACTTGCGCATAGTCCGAGTCAGAGATATCCTGGGGGACGTTGCCAGCCAGCACACCCTTGTCCGCGTCGAACTCGAGGTACTGATCTGCCTCAGCGGGGTCGAACGACGCTGAGAGGTCCACATCGTTACTGCCGAGGATGCCTACAGTGGTCTCGTTGGAGAAGTACTGGACCAGGTCGAACGTGAACGGTGTTCCCAGCTGGATAAGCAAAGGATTAAGATCCGACGTGGAGAAGAACGACGGTACAACCGCCAGAGAGACGTTAGTGTAGATAGTCTGGTTGAAGATGGTCGTCAACTTGACAGGAAGTACCGGCCCAGCCTTCGATTCGCCATACTGGTCCGGGGGTTCGCCACTTAACGTCCTCGTTGTCTGGTCGTAATGCAGCCAATAAGAGTACTGAGAAACGTCAACAGCCAAGTCTTGTATATCCGCAGGCTGGATAGGATTCCCGTCCACGCTGACGCCCGTAAAGTCGGCTGGGGAGGAGAAGTCCACACTAAAAGGGGTCGAGGCGGTGATATTGATGGTGGGCAGGCTAGAGTGGGACAGAGACAGCTCATAAGTCGAGACGACAATGTCGAATGCTTGGGATCCAGCAGAGTACCCTTCCTGGTCAGACGCGTGGAGAGCCAGCGAGAACGACCGGGACGCATTCTTAGGAGACGACGGAGTAACACCATCGAATGTGATTTGCCTCGAGTTGAAGCGGACCCAGGAGGGCAGCGGGGAGCCATCCGACTGTAGGCCTGCGTAATAGAGATCCCCGCTGGAATTGAAGGTACCGTACTCGAAGCCGATGGAGAAGGACCACCCTTCCGGGATGCGCAGAGCCGGTCGAGAAGCGCTCAGAGCCGAGCCCTGGGCAGGCAGGAATACGGAGGACAGAGAAGGGTTAGCCTTGCGGAACTGGTCTTGGACGGGAATGTTCAGAACCGGAGGAGGGGAGGACGTTACGCATAGCGTGAACTTTGATGTAGCTATATCGCCCGAGCCGTCTTCGGTTGCTGTGATAGATATCGCTCGCGCGCCTTCGTCTTCGGCTGCTGGAGTGCCATGAAGTGTCCCCGTTCCAGGATCCAGCGAGAGCCAGTCGGGCAAGGAAGAGGCAGCCAAGGTAAACGTAGAGTTTTTGGAGGACGAGAATGTGTCCTTGGAGAACGACCAGGAATAGGGCGAGCCAACACGGGCGATGAGGGGAAGCTGCTCTGCCAAAGGAATGGAGACGGAAACAGCAGCATTGGCGGCGAGGGCAGAGGCAAAGACGAGGTAAAGAACGACTAGTAACATGATAGTAATGGCAAACGAGGGGCTGGCAACGTCGACGCTTGCCGGGGCAGTCGTCCAGCGACCTCGAAACTGGTGTCAGTGGGCGAACTCAGGTTGACGACGTTCGATGAAGACAAGTTGAAGAGACAGACGCAGCGCTGCACCCTCGAACATCCTCTCGTCTCACGTGACCGTGACAGTCCCGTCACCAACGCGTCAAGGCCAACTGGCGGTACATTCTATTTCATTTCGTTACTCGTAACCGCAACGCGTGCGTAGACAAAGCAGTACTCGACAACAAACCATGATATCGTAACCTGACTCCGGTATGCAATGAGGAATGAATGAAACGGTCAACACAAGAGGGAGAGACATTATGCAGCAGCAACAAACAGCACAAACCAAGAAGAAAAAAAAAACAATCTTGACACTGTACACGCACTCTACCCAACCACAAACGGCGTCAGGCCAGCCGCCTGCACTTTTGCGGGGTCCTCCTTGCTGAGCGCCCCGACGAGCTGGATCAGCTCCGCCCGCGTGTCCTCCTGCACCTGCTCCGTCCGGCTCGGGTCCAGCACGTACGCAAACACCGCCAGCAGCTTGTCCATGTACGGATGCAGCACCTGCGGATTCGTCTTGAACAGGTGCAGGATCGCGCGGAACACCGGCCGGTTCTCCAGCGTGTCGTTCTTCAGCGGCAGCGCCTCGATGAAGATCGGCAGCACCTGGTCCAGCGGCAGCGCCCCCGTGTTCTTCACGATCATCCGCGCGACCGCGCCCGCCGCGTTGTCCCGCGCATTGAACCGCGGTCCGGGCGCGTCGGGGGCGACGACGAACAGCGGGTGCAGCTGCGCGAGGATCTGCAGGTACTGCGGCGACAGGTCCACGTCCGAGTGCTCGACGAGCAGCCCGGCCGCGAACGCGGCGTTGCTCTGGACCTCCGCCTCGTCGTCGCTTAGTGCCTTGTAGAACAACTCCATGAGCGGCTCCGTCCACTCCCGCACGGCGCCCTTCATTCCCCCAATGATCTCCGCCAAGCACCCGATAGCTGACGACCGATCACTGAGCGACCTGTTCTTCTTCTACATCACGCCGCCAACGTCAGGATACTTCAAAAAGCTTGAGCGGTAACACTCACATAGTACTTCGAAATCAACGGGAAGAACCGCGTGAACGCCGGGGCAAAGTCGGCGCCCAAAACATTCGCAAGCGACGACACCAGGTCGCCAGCCGCCGAGATCAAAACCGAGTCGTACTCCGCCTGGTCCTCCGGCGCCTCCTCGTCCTCGTCCTGGTCGGGGTCCTGCTGGCACAGCGCCTTCTGCTCCAGCACCTGGATCGCCATGTTGCTGATGTCCTCCAAGTCTGCGGGAGAATAGACGTTCGTGAGGTCACCGGAATGCATGAGCAACAAGGACGTACGATCTGCTAGGAACGCGGGGCCGACTTCGTTAATCGTCTCCGCAAGACCGACGCACAGTGCAGACACGACGCTCCTGAAAACACATTATCAGTACCAAATCCTGGAGCAAAACAGTATGATGGTAAGAATTGATCAGGAAAATACAACGAATTCATCTCATACGCCCGTTAGGCGTCGATGTGAGCTGAGTTTACGTGATTGTCTCATCATGAGAGAGCGGGACCCCGCCCGAACCAGCAAAATCAACAAACCACTCACTTGTTATCCTCCGACTCGTACATGTCCAACAGCGGCGGCAGCACATGCCCAATCAGCTGCTTCACATTCGCGTCCAAATACGGCGCCTTTCCGAACACCATCAGCGCCCCACCACCCAACGCTCAAGCTGCAAACTCACGTTCACCGACGCCATCCCGGGCGTCCACGGCCCACTCCCACTCAGCTCATGGAACACCCTCACAATCTCCAACAAACTCTCCGTCGCGCTCTTCCTAATCCCCTCATAATAATGCGTCAGCAGGCCCACCAACTCCAACGTCGTCTGCTCGACATAAGGCAGGAAATGATTCCGCGTCGACGCGAAGAGCGCGCCGATCGTGTCAGCCGCGATCTCCTTCTCGACCGCGATCGCGCTGTTCACGTCGAGCATCTTGTCCACGTCCGCGTCGAGGTCCTCGATGTCGATCGTCGTGCCCTCCGCGCCGTCCTGGATCACGATCGCGTTCGCGGGCGACGTGCCAGTGCCGAACGCCGCCGCGGCCTCCGCCGTCGTCACTGCACACAACCAAACAATCAGCACATAACACACCACGACCCAGACCACTACTCGACTCACGCGACAACGGCTCGGACCCCTGCTCCGCCTGCTGACAGCTCGCCACAAGCGCGGGGACCACGCTCGGGAGGTACGGCGCAAACTCCTCCCCAAACACCCGCGCCATCACCCCAAAGAACAAGAAACTACACTCCCGCAACCTCGCGCTGCCCATCTCGAGCCCCTGGAAAGCCTGCTTCATCATATCCGGGAAGTACGGGCGGAATGTCTCCTTCCCCACCGCCTCCGCGAACGTCCCGATCGCGTCCATCGTGATCCCGCGCAGCTCCGTCTCCTCGCCCTCGCCCGTGAGCAGGAGGAAGTGCTTTATCCTGTCCATCGTCGGTACAAAATACGGCAGGAACTTCTCCTTCGACGCGTGCGCCGCGGAGCCAATCGCGCCAGTCACTACTGCCTTGACGGGCAGCGGCGCCGAGTCGAGGAGCACCGCGAGGCGCTCCATGATCAGGCCCAGGTACTGGTCGATCGAGTCGTGCATGATCTCGAGCAGCGCATCCAGCGCCGTGCACGCCGAGCGCTGCGTCGCCGGGTCGTTCACCAGCTGCATAATCGTCTGCACTCCCTTCATCAGCCACCCCCCATCACTCCACCAATAAAATAAAATAAACCCACCGGCACGAGCACCGCATGCTTCGCCGCACACTCCTCCTCCAGCCACTCACACAAGCAGCTCACAGCCACACAGCTCGCCTTGCGCACGCTCGCGTCGGGGTCCTTCAGCCCCGCCTCGACGAACGGCCAGATGTGGTCCATCAGCGGCGTCATGAACTCCGAGCAGCCCTCGACGGCGACGCCCAGCGCGAGCATCGCCCCGCGCCGGCTGTTCGCGTCCGGCGAGGAGAAGTACTGCTGGATGAGCTGGCGCAGCGCGGGGAAGACCTGGCTTGGGGGCAGTTGCGTCGCGAGCGTGTCGATCGCGCGCAGGGCGGACTAGCGAGGTCAAGGTTAGAGGGAGATAGCGAGTAGGGGCGGGGAGACGTACCCGGGACGGCGCCTCGTCGTCCACATCCTCCGGCTCAGGCTCGCACGCGATCGGCATGAGGCCCTGCAGGATAACCGGCGCGAGGTCGTTGCTCTGGATCTTTGATTTTTTGCTGAATCATGCAAATTGAGCATGTTCATTTAAGTCCACTACGACTCGACACTCACTACTCAACGGTCCAGTTCAGCGCGTTCAGCGCGAGGATGCGCAGGTCTGGGTCGTAGTTGGTGTTGCCGCCGCACTGGAGGAGGAATTGCGCGAGTTGGGGAATGTGGTTCGCGAGGATGGGGATTTCCTGGGATCAAAGTCAGGACTGTGGTATGGGGATGTCAAGGCGTGATTTACCCACCAAAATGAGTAGCGTCTCGAGAACGTCAAAGAGCTGCCTTGCTCCCGCTTCGTTCCCCCTCTCTACGCATTGACCAATGATGTTGATCATAGCAGGGAGGAGCGCCCGGAAGGCTTGCTGCAAAGAGTCAGACAAACGAGCAGCAAGTAGACACTCGGCACTCACGATGTCCTTCTTGTCATCCGAGTCAATATACTGCGCAATGACGCCCAAACACCGCACTGTCGTAATCCTGACCTCCTCGCTCTCGGGGTCGTTCAGCAGGCTTTCAAAGAGCTTGAAGAGGGACTGCAGCTCGTTGGAGAAGGCCTCGATGATGTTCTCGAGGACAGTGTAGAGGACGTAGATCCCGACTTCACGATGAGCGACCTGAACTGAGGTAGCGGTCTGGTGGAGGAAGGGGAGGAGCTGCGGCCATGTGCCGAGGGGGACTTCGATGGTGGCAATGGCAGCAACGACGCGGGCGGTGGAGTGACGGACGATTTTGCTGAAGTCAACGCTGTGAGAAGGAAGCTGACATCGCGTATGGAATACTCACCTAGACTCTGAGAGCGTCAAGTCGGGCAGCTGCTGCTTGATTTGATCCCGCTGATCTTGCGGGACCTCGATCCACAGAGAGCCGCTGTTATTTAGCACGCGCTTGCGCATCTCGACGCCAGCCAGCTGACGGACCTGCACGGCCGCCAAAATGCGTCAGAATAACTCATATAACCGCACCGATCACGCAGACGTACCGCTTCCTGCGGCGAACTGGCAATAATGCTGGCTAGGGCCGGTATACATGCTGGATTTTTGTAATACTGCTGGTTGAGCTGGGCAGTGGCCTACATATCATAATTTGAGCAGAAATCGACGCAGGATAAACAGGTCGATCTTACCGCCTTGAGCTGGACGGTATCATTCGCGGTCGATTGCACCAAAAGATCGTGCAGGTTCTGCACAAATGAGGGCTGGGACATTCTGGTCAGCTACAGCATTTTTAGCAGGTACTTGCTGGATACATACATCCATGGCGAACGACCGGTCGAAGGGGATGGACGATAAGGTGAAGCTCACGCGCAAAGCCCTAAGCCAAAAATTGGTCGGACTTCCAAAATTTTGGACCGGATCCTGCCACGCGCGTCCCACGCGACGCGATCGACTTGCATGCATCGCTGCATTGAGCAGGACTAGAGTTGGGACCTGTTGTAACGGGCACGGTGGTTGCGAGGACCGCGCCCGAACACCGCGCGGCGAATGAGGCGCAAACCGACAGGAATGAACACGATTACTGGCGTTGGCAAGACAAAGCCTACAAACTACAGCGATGCAACTATCTAGACTACGTTATGTAAGCATGGAATGGACTTGATCATTACACCTGTGGCCTTGCCACTGGACTCTACTGTCATGTTCTTCTTGTTTGTAATCCAAGAAAATAGAGCTACATGTTTTCACAAAATTTTATGACTCCTATTTACCATACACAATGTGATGTTGGTCCTGACTCTCAGTGCCAGCACTTAAGTGCCAGCACTTACGTGCCGCCTCCCTCAGCCAGGACCTGTGTTGCTGTGCTCTAGATACAAATCCCACTGTGTGCAAACCTCCACCCATGGTCATAACCTCAGATAGGAATAGACAAATTACTGATATTTTAGTTTTACCCTTTGCAAGGACTGAATGATTTCAATTCCCATTCTCCAGCCAAAATCTGAGCCACCCTGCTTAACTATCTGCACCCATTTAAGTTTCCCAGTGTCTCATGCAGCCCCTCCCTTCAACATCCATTGGGCCAGGATATGTACACCACTTCCACTGGGAATGTCTGAGGAGGGTGCCGGTTACTTTCCCCATTCCCATTGATAGGCACAGACACACAACAACCACCAGAGACCAGGGGGAAATGACCTAACACACCCAGTGGTATGAGTGGAGGCAGTCTGAGATGGCTGAAGGGTATAAAGTAGTTCTAGGGGGAAAGGAGGAGTAAGATGACATAGGATAGCCTGTAGGAAGACCTAGAAAAATAAAACAAAGCCTTGAGGCCTGAAACAAACACGAATCGAGCTCCGGAGTATTTATCTCCGAAGAATTGAAAATAAACAAAGGTCGCAAGCACCGACACCTAGCATAGGATCGTGCTTGCGGAATAGAAATTGCTAGAGAGACTTGGTTAATTTTATTTTGCTATGTAATACTCACAGGAGCTAATATGTTGATGGCAGAGATAATTCAATTGACAAGTCAGGCCTATTGGCAAAGCTAGGATCGGTCGTAAATCGCTAAGTTTGATGCTTTTGAACTTCGAGGGTCACTGAGATGGTAACTCTAATACGCTGAGACGGTGAAGATCAAACTTTTTCTTACTTTACTTTACATCGTACATTTTATACTACAGCAATGACCCTGCGACCACCCGGAGATAAATAACAAATACTCACTGCAACTCCATTGACTGCTCAGCACCCGTCCACCGCTATACCATGCACCATATGACTCCCTCATCCCTCCATGTGCTTGTCCTAGCTCCTAGAGGTTGTCCTGATGCGTCAGTACCTGTCCTGAGCCTTCCCATCATGCTGCACGACATGCCAGTCACGTGCAAATTAATTCCAGCTGCTTGCTGACTGATGCTGGCCTCATGGTCGCAGATTTACGTCCCCAAGCTTGGTAATTTGATGGAGACAAAGGGGAGGAAGTGCTGGAAGTTGGGTGCGAGGATGACCCACAACTAGACAGGTGCTCACAGCCACTGGAGTTGATTCATCTCAAAGTCACTTCCTGAGTCACTCTGGAGCGCCTGACCTCGGAGCTAAATCATCATAGGGATTCGCACTGGCCTCGAAGACGCTGGAAAGTCCGGAGTTAAATTGATAAATCTTCTGGAAAAATCCTAGGGTAGGGGCATGTGAGTGCGATGTCGAATGGACTCCAGATGAGGTGGGTAGGGACATTGAATTCATGATTTCCGGGGTCAGACGATCCTTGAGGCTTATCATCATATATTACTTGACCCAGGCAATGTATGGAGAGGGGACTTCTGGCAGTGATCAATAGTGCCTAGTGGCTATCATTGCTGTAAAAATAATTTTTTCATTGCTGGCTCCAAAACAGTTTCTTGGGTTTTCCCATGCATATACTATATTCTACTTCCTGAAGTTTTGGCATCATACTCACCCCATATATATCTACAGGTTTACATAAGATACCGAGAGATTCCAAGCAGTGCATCGTCAGATACCGCTTTTGGGTTGTACCCCTCCTGTGGACCCCCCAGGGAAGTAGAATGTGGTTCCAGTGGTTGTAGATTGCTTTCCCTAGAGTATATAATCATACCCCATCATGTGGACCACTTTCAAAGCCACACAGCCCATTATTTTCTTACATAGTATTACTCCACCTCCAAAACACACTGTTCACCCCACCTTGCACCAGCTGGTATATATCCCAGTCCGGAAACAAGTCATACTACATCCTAGAGTGAACCCCACTAGTGTGACAGGCTATCCTAACCACCCCAGGTGCATTCTCCTTTCACTGGACACTGAAAGGTGCCCCAGGCCATTTTTGGACAACTTTCGGACGGTTTTCGGACAATCTAATCTACGGCGACATCAGGAAAATGCAAAACCACCTTTCGGCGTCTTAGAGCAATCTTTTGGCATTTAGGCGCCCGACTTGGCTTACTTTTCCTGATTCAAGCCTCAAAGAAGGCCACAAGCGCCGAAAAAGTGGGCATTACAGCCATTTGCAGATCGATGGGCCCACTTTTTGAGAATCATTTACAGTCGGACCACGTCGGACAAGCAATTTCAAGTCCCCGAGAGACAGAAATCAGACCATCTGGACTTCTCTACCTTCTTCCGATGTCCCTGGCACCCACTCCGACCCACTCCGACTATACGTGGTTTTCTGAATTGATGGTCTATCGATCTGCAAGCGGCTGTAAGACGTCGTTAAGCCAAATCAAGCCAAGTCCCTGGCCAAAGTCGGGTAACGTTTTGCTGATGGACCGCCCTTCAGCCGATTAGAGGCCAGGACCCCGTGACCGCCGCTCAAGAGCGGTCGGTGTGGTTGATTTCACGGCCTGCGCCCCTTGGCAAGCGCCTTGAAGCAGCTCGTTCATATCCCAAGTCATCAGCAAATCTTCCCATAACTGGTATCTGGATACCATTAGCATATAATCAATTAAAATAAGTACCGGTATTACAATATGTACCAGACTTGTGGACGGCTGGGCCAGCCATTATATTCGGATGGCACATGTTGCAAGACTCCCACAAGAAGTACAATATGTACCAGACTTATACATATTACAAGCTCAGGCCAGCTTGCTTTGTCCCATAATCAGACTATCAGCTGTCTTTTGCTTGATATTCCAGATCCCTGGAACAAAAAGGGGGGCATTGGCTGATGAACACAATAAACAGTGTATAATTGCTCAGACTAGCTACTAGACAGGATTTGCTATGGCTAGACATTCAACACAGTACTATCTGCTGACCCATACCCTCCACACAACCTACTCAATGGAAAGCAAGCCATGTCACTACAATAAACCAGATAGGGGAGATGAGAGACATACCTGGTGC